AAAGTTCTTCAGCCAGTACTCTATTCTATAATATTTTCGCTGATTTGTTTTTTAGTAAGGCTGAGGGTTGTTTTTTTTTTTTTCAGTCATTCCACTTCCATAATGATTCATTCCCTAGAATGCTTACATCTACTGAGTTAGTTCTGTTCCTGGATTTTAGCACTGCTTGCATGTCCTAGATTACCAGTTAAATGCAATTTTCTTATCTTCCTCCTTATTGCTTTTCCATCTGTTTACGAAGGAATCTTTTTTTGTTGATATACATTACCTGCAACTCTAACATAAATAAATCTGAGTCTATCTTGGACTCCTCTGAAAGCATTATGGTCAGATTCCATATGATCCTTAAAGAAAAGCATACATACAATGTCTAAGGTAGCAGCCAGACTGTGCAAGTGAACAGTACTCTTTTTCCTTTACGAACAGTAGCAAAAGCTTTCCTTTAAAACAAGTAGTGAAAGCTTCCCTGTAGAGTTCTGCAGTAAAAATAGTCCAAGAGTCCAAGAGCTTCTTTTAAGCTGCTCTGAATGTGTATCAAGCACAATGAGATTGTCAAACACCTCTAAAATTTTAATCTCTGGCTGGAGCACTGCTAAAGCAGCTACGAAAGTTTCTGAAACGGATTCAAAACACTCTGAATCACAGCAACATATAAATATACTGCCCTAAACTTAGCATGTTCCACATTATCAGCTTATGATGATGGCCTTGTTTCCTGGCAACTGAAGACATACAACTCTTTTATACACACAGACAGTGTGTATAAAACATACAGTTTTCTTGCTTTGGGGAAAAAAAAGAAAGGTCCCCTTTTAGTTCATTTAGGCAGCACACTACACAACTTTTAATCAGTGAGTTTCATTCCTTACACTACTACAAAATTTCAGTGCAATAATAGATTTCTAGTATTGCAAAAAACACGTACCCTTCTGTATTCACTTTGTTCTTCTCAGTTCTCTTTGGTTTTCCTGTTCAATTTATTTATAAAATGTTGTGGAAAAAGATTTCAGTATGTTTATAAGTGAAATGTAATGGAGATTCTTGATAAAGCAATCCAAACATCTGAAAGTCATCTTATAGCTAAGATGGATCCTCCAAAATGGAATCACAGTGACATTTAGTTTTCATCTACCTAGTGCCTGATTTTCTTCAATTGTTTTTATAACCAACATTGATCTTCTTAGTTACAACGAGAATGTTGTTCCTAAAGTTGATGGAACTGATTTGTTCATGGAAAGATTCTCCAGTGGTACAAATTTGTGCAGCTCCTTTCTATGTCAATATTATCATAGTATGTATTGGGTTGAAAGGGACCTTAAACCTCACTTAGTTACATCTCCCTTGTCGTGGGCAGGTTTGGCATGCATGAGATTGGATAGCTGCTGAAAATCATGTATCCAAGCTACAAAGCTCAATTCTCTGTTCTTTCATCATCCAAATGCTACTTTATGAGTTTAAAACATTTTATTTTTTAATTAATTCATGTATTCAATCATATTTTATAATTTGGGAGAGGGGAATCAACACAAATTCTATGGTTGTTGCAATAGAGCAACTTCATATGTCAGGAAAGCAGTCTGACTAGATATGGTGAGATTACTGAAGTATCCAACACAGTATCAAAATCCCATCAGGATTTCCATCCTCTCTCCTTTACTTCCTCTTTTCATACTTACAAGAAGATATAGTTTAAACAAAAGAAGTGTGTTATTGCTACTATGCTTAATACACATATCAAAATATTCAAAGAGGGGAATGTCTTATTCTATGGCCTTGTTTACTTTAATCATGGCTGTTCAAGTAACAAAGGAAAGAAGAGAGAACATATGGATGAATTGAATGTAGCTCTATCTCAGAAATTACAGAATATTCAGGTAAAATAGATCATATCAAAAATATCAGGGTTGCCAAGGCTGCTCCAGATGCAATCCAGTGCTTACCATAATATGAGTACAGAGAAAATCTTATCTCCCCTTGAATACCCCCACATATAAACATCCATGCAGTACATCTGGGTATTACTTCAGTAATATGAGACGTGTCTGACTTCAGGGGATAGTGTAGTGTCTACTTTTCCCAGCCCACACCCATTCTGCAGGTTACTGCATCGCTACAGTGATCATACATCACTCAAGAATCCCAGCTGCTAGGAAGTTTCCAATAGACATAACTTGCTTTTACAACGCTCTTTTACAAGAGAGCTGCAACAACAGTGAAAGTTAAAGCTGCCCTAATAGTGCATACCGAATAATTCAGTTCTGAGGTGTATCTGTGTATCAGTAAAGCATGAAGATACCTACTGTAAACACCCACTCAAAGTCTCTCAGTAAAAACATTTATAAACCTATCTCTAGAAACATCTGTAAAACTAATCAAGAACAAATTCTCAAACAACTACTGAGTTGAGTTTATATACAGCCTTTCAAAGAGCCTGTACATTTCTATTTTAATGTCAACTAAAATAATTAGCTAGCACTTATTATTAAAAATATTTGCGAGCTGAATAATTCTTTATAATGAGCCAAATTTTGCTGTAAGATGGGTCTGAAAATGTCCTTCACAACAAGTGAAAGTGGGCTGGTGAACAACATTTGCTTTCACAAAAAGACTTTAAAAGAATACATCTCAGTCCCTGGACAGTTTTGTTTTACTACACTGTGATCTCAGTGTTAGCAGTGAAGCTGCTATGGCAATGCAAATGTCTACGGTTTCAACTAAATTATTCCAGACTCATATGAATGCAACTGGAACAGAACTGAACCTAAGTTGTATTAAATTAATGACATATGGCATGATCAAAATATTGTTGTCTATGCAAAAGCACTGTCAGAAACTATTAGGACTCACTAAGCATATAGTGTCTTTAAAAACAAAAGAAGGAATAATAATATTCATTTTTCTTTTTGGAGTACAAATTAATAAAGAAAAGGGAATAAAATGCTACAAAATTCCTGAAATAGGTAACTCCATAATTACTAAGCATTACCAACAACATTGTTTGGCATATTTAGTATCATGGATTATCAGAGCTGAATTTTACAAGTGTTCTTTTAAACTATCAGAATCCACCAATCCACAACTGAAGTATTCCTGTAGATTAACATTAATGCATCATGAATCATCACAGTTTAATATGCATTACACAGTTTCATTTCACACATGTTCTGCATGGGTTGATTGCTGTGTATGCCAATACCAAACAGATGTTAATTCTTTAATTTTTATGCTCCCAAAGCATATTTTAATTAACTAGGAGGCCTGACAAAGAAAAAGAGGGAGGTATTTAGAAGTTGAGGTAATGGCAAATATAAAATAAAAATGTGAGAAAAGTAGTTTTTAGATTTCATGCTATCAACAATCTAATTTTTAATATTCAAAAGAATACATGAATGCAAAGGAATTGTCAACTGCTCTCATAAAATGGCATATCATTTTCTGTAAACAGTAAAAGAATTTTTCAATATTTCCTTAATAAAATTATAATTTTAAAAGCCCTACAAATTAAACTCAAACTTTGTTGTATTAAATGTTTCTGTAAATTACCTGCAAGGCATTGTATGTTCATACTACGTCTCATTCTTAAAAATCAAGTATTGTGCAAAGAAATTGAATCTCCATATAAACATCATTATACAGACTCTCATACCTTTAGTGTTGTATGTCTCATTTTATAGATTATGTAAATTAAAAAGTTCTGAATGTAGACTATTTCACAAGCTTCACCTGTACCAGAGGCCAGAAATGAAAATGAGAAGATACTTCAGCTATAGATGTATAACGAGGAAGCTGTTGCCAGCCAGTGCTATCTGCCACTTCATGCAGTGCCAGATGCAAGCCAAGGTTCTCCAGAACAGCAGCAGAGCCACGACTCAGGCTGGAAGTGTGTTAAAAACTGTGAGCTTTAACTAACCCCTAATTTGGCCAAGTTGAGTTGTTTGTGTAATTTCCATGAAAGTCAGAGCAGATCTCTAGTTTTGATCCTGATCTTACTGAAATCAACGGGAGCAGAAATGGCTCCCAGGAATTTTGTACCAGAATTAGTTTTAGCAAGCTGAAACAGCCTCCAGGATGAAAATTTCCATTATGAAAGCTGTTATGAATAATAACAGTAGTGTTGTTATTGATACATAAATATTTCTGTTACTGGGTACAAATAACATATAAATAATAGTAGACAACACAGTATCAAAATCAGAACATTATGCCCCTCCCCATACCATGTAGATCATTCTGCACAGCAGCACTTCCCAGACCAAACAAATTATTTAAATTCCTTGTTTGCATACTTACGCAAGCTGGTATACAGCTTAACTGACATTTTGGAAAAGGAAAAAAAAAAAAAAAAAAAAAACCAACCCAAACTGACAGCCATGGCACAATACAGCAAACTTTGTCCTCCAGCATTCCTTCCCCCCCCACACACAAACACATTCCCTTTTTTTCTTCAAATGACCAAATGCATGCAAGGTATCTGGGAAAAAAAAAAAAAAAACAAATTATCCATCATACCCTAATTTCAAGGAAGTGAAAAACACATAATTCCCATTGGATTTACTGGGACAAGGAGTTAATCTAAAATGTGAATTTTACACACCATTTAAAAAAAAAACCAACAACAAACACTTATCCAGATTTCTAAAAACATACACTCATCGCACTGCAGGGAATCATGCTTGCATTTCTTCCTCAACCAAAATTCCCTGACTGGAATAACAGATTTAGATGTTATTTCTGTTCTCATTCCATTTCACTATGTTAAATCTCCAGATTTTTCCCCTCTTTACTTAACACATATGTGTGAAAGTGCCTCCTTTCCATTCATAGATGCTATCTTCCTCAAACTTCAAATGATTCATGGGTGAATATAGAGTTATAAATAATTAATCGAAATACATAGCAGTGGCTAGGGGAAAAAGAAATCCTGAAGGAAGAAAACCACTACATAAAATCCGAACATTAAAACCGACTTTTCAAAATCAATCTTTAATTGTTTTTATTACCTCCTAATCCAGGTCTAAGACGATTATCATAACCATCCAGAAGTCTGTCTAGAATTCTTGTAAAGATGGTGATGTTATTCTTAGCTTCATCTTCCAGGGAGTCAGCCAGCACTGATCTAAATGGACATTTTACAATTTAGAAGATGCTAGGTAAGTTTTAATGTACACTCAACATGCAGTTTTTACAGGCTGGCCTTAAATATTTACCTTTCTGAAGGGTGTGATTAAAAATCTATAAATGCATGATTTAGGTATAACACATTCAGAAACATAATAGTCTATGGCATACCACTTAAAATTTCCAGCTAGTCATTTTTCAGTAGTCTCTAATTTCAGCCAGTGCTGCAAAGCAAGTAGGACCACTACAAGCTCCACTGACACATTTGGCTGGCCAGGTACAAAGGTCTGAGATTCCCAGGTCCCCCCAGCATGTCACTTCCACACTACGAACTGATAACCCCAGTTCTCACACATAAAACTGTCTCCTTCCAGCTCAGTCCTATCTGTCTTCACCTAAGCATACCCTATCTTCGGATAAATCCTGTGGATATGCCTCCACCCAATGGTCATGTTAAGTACACGACCAGAGGAGCTAACGAGGGAAAACTCCAGCAATCATGCTCAGGGAGTCCTCTGATGTCAGTATTTGGTGGGTGGGAACAACGATGCTGACTAGCAAGCAGCAGGATAGCTGCAGATAGCCTTCCTGTTTTTAAAATGCTGTCTTGATACAGAAAGCTCTACCTGACATTCCACTGGGTGCAGGCAAATCTTATAAAACTTTAATAGAAAAAAATAAATAAATAAAAATCAGAAATGAAGCATTAAGAAGAATCACCAATTGGACCAAACTTTCCCAGCAAATAGATATTCTAGCCTTTATGGACCATGTATTTATGGAAAACGCTAGGCGTTCTAGCAGGAACCTGCTGCTCAGCCCAATGTGGTTCCAAGCAGTCAGTCCTCCCAGACCTGGACACCCAAACAAGCAGGTTTAAGTACTAGGGAAACCCTCCATGCAGAAACCCTTAGACATGCAAATTTTAAGTACCGTGGATGTGAAATGCGTGAGCTGAGCTCATCTGTCTCACCTACTTAAAACCAGAGTATTAATATCAAGGAAGCAGGGCATCATATGCTACCTGCATAATACCACATTTGTACTCTTTGCAGCTATCTACTTGTTTATGGTGAAATTTTGAGTATTTGTTATCTCTAAATAAGCTACTGAATAGGGTGAATATGGATGAATGATTATGTCATAAAGACAAGCATGTTTTCCTACTCTAAACAAGGAGTGGATATACATGATGCTTTCTTTCAAATAAAGCATAAAATGATTAAAAACATGGCATTATGCTGGTCCCTGATTTAACAGCATGGAGGAAGTATTTAAATGTAAATCATTGCAGTCTGTTTTTCTATTACACAGACCACATAGGCAACCAGATAACTTAAAAAACAAACACCAAAATATCAGTAAAACAACTGTTCTGTGAGCTTATTCCTAATTACTGCATAGTTTAGTTTCTAAATTGTATTTCTGTGTTCTACGTATCTGCCATTTTTAAGCTTGTTTTTGAGATGTAACTGTTTTTCGAAGTCAGAATGCCATGATAAAACCGGTTCATTCAATTATATCCAATTAGGGTCGGATCCTGCAAACTTTACTCTGGCATAAACTCCTTCATTACGCATGCAGCCTCTCTGACGTCAGTGCGATTACTCACTTGAGTAGGGTTTGCAGGATCTGGCCCACTGTGACTCAACTAATATTGCACCATAGTTAGGCACAAAGTGAATAGGAAATACAGTTTCAGGAATTAATTTTGTTCTCTAGAAAGTAGGAAAAAAACGAATGCAGGCATTTTGAAACAGGGAAACTGCATTATTTATGACACGTACCATTCTAGGGCAAGACCTGCTGCAGTGAGAACCAGAGCAAGTAAACCAAAGTTACAAACTACAACCAGCTGTATGTTTAGGGACTGTGGGAAACACAAAACCAATTATTTGATTAAAATTATTTTCTGCTGTGTTGTCACTTTAGAAATGGGAACTTAAAACAAAATTTAAAAGTTGATTATTAAATGAAGGCATTGTTTTATTGTAAGCGATTGTGAAGTTGTATGCTACCTCCACCTAGAGGTGTAAAGCTTAAGTGTCATCTGAAATTCTGTTATTTTGACCAAAAAAAGACACCAAAAAATAGACTAAAAATAATAATAATAAAAATGAGGAGAAAAATGGGCATTATTTTAAAGACTACGAGTTGCTATTTGATTTCAGAATCATCTGTTCTCCATCTTAAGTGCTCTGCATAGCACAGTATCGTGATAGGGTAACTCCAATAAAGCTTTAAGCTCTTAATTTACAACGAGGCACTTAAAACTCGGTTCTTCCTTGGCACAATGAAATCCAACACCTTCAGGACAAGACATCAGAGCCCACCTTCTCCCACAGCATTAGCTCTGGAAACTATGTAACATCGCATGCAAACAGCTAAGAGAGGGCTTCTATTACGTTACTCCGCACTCTACTTTTATGCAAGCCTACCCTTAGGAGTCCACAGCGTACGTATCTGCACAGAAAGACACGCCAAGCATCCTCACCTTGTGGGCAGCCACGCCAGCAGGGCGAGGAGCACCAGGCGCGTCCCGCGGGGTGCCGGCTGGCTCTTCATCGCCGCGCTCCGCACCACCTACAGCCGCGGAGAGAAACACAGAGCCGCGCTCAGCCGCCGCCGCGCTCCAACTTCAGCCGGGAGAGATGTCACTTCGCGGGGAGCGGAGCGGCGGGTCCTGCAGCACTTCGCGCTACGGGCAACTTAGTGCGTCTCCATCTTCCCCGGCGATCGTGCTCTGTGCAAAGAGGCAACGGATGATCAGAAGTGGCATGTGAGCAGACGCATCAGATGCTTTCCTCTTCCGTAAGCTGAAAGCCCCAAGACGAGGGGGGCAACAAAAGAAAAAAAAAAAAGAGAGAGAGAAAGAGATGCGTGTCTCAGACCGCGGGGTTTAACCATCTCTAGCCTCAGCGGGGGGCACGCCGGAGGGACCGCAGGCCGCTGGGGGCCACAGCGCGTCCACTAGGGAGCCACCGGGCCCCGCGCTCCCCGCGGCGGGCGGCGACCCCCCCGGGGACCCTACCTGGGAACAGGCGGGAGGGGAGGGGGCAGGCGGAAGGAGGGCGGCGGCGACCGCCGGGCGGCCGGGACGGAGCGGCGGCTGCGGGAGCGACGGGAACGCGCGGTGCGGGGGGCGGCGGGCAGTGCGCGTGCCGCTGCGCGGGGCGGGAGGGGCGGCGGGCGGGGCGCGTGCCCGTGCGCGCGCGCGGTGGCCGCGCGGGTGCGGAGGGGGCGAGCGGAGGCGCGGAGCTGTGGGCGCTGCCCCCGGGGCCGGGGAAGATGCAAGTCACCGTGCTGGGGGCTTCGCGCAGCACCCCTCCCCAAAACCGACGGGCAGTGCTCTGACGGGGAGGTGTGGGGGGGCTTGCGGGCGGAAAGCACCCCCGGAGGAGGAGACGGGGCCGCGCTCCTCTTGGTGTGCGGTAGGTACGGAGCCGCTCCCAGGCCGTACCATTAATATTCCTTTCCCCGCTTGCCCATTGGCACAGTCATTGAAATGCAGAGAGAAGAAAAGTCTGTCGGTTCCAGCGAGCCGGGGGTGCGGGCAGCCAAGGAAACAATCCCGGCTGCTTTCTAGCTCAGATCGCAGCACTTCTGTTGGATTCTCGTCCACATGACGCCGACCTCGTCTGAGCCCGATGGGCGCGCTGCGAGCATCCGTCCCCATTACTGCGGGTTTTCCAGTGCAAATGGATCAGGGCAGTGCTGACACAGAGAAGGTTTTTATGTAGGCTATCCTTATTTTGCATTGTTAACTTGAAGGCGAGCAGCACCAGCAGTAGTAACATTGTACCTTTTTTGTTTCTTTGTTTTAAACCGATCTCTATCTCCCTTCAAACTGTTAATCGCGGAACACGCAGCCCTCAGCTCTTCCCTCAGCATCCCAGCCTACCTGTCTGTTGCACTTTGAGAGTATTTTGATTCAGAATCTGACCTATCAGCTACAACGATCGGGAGAGTCCTTTTCTTGCTCTCTGCTATTCTCCCTGGATTTCTTGCTTCCTAATTGTTGCAGATTGCAGCTGGAGGTCCCCCTGCTTTCCTTCTCCTCTGGTGGCTTAAGGACTCCACAGCAAAGCATGAGGCAGAAGAAGGAAGGAGAATGCTTGGGCCGTCAGACTGATCTGCTTCTTCCAGTTCTCTTCATAACCTCACTGGGACAAGAGAGGGAACAAGTCGGGTTACTTGTTACTAAATAATGAGTAAAGTGACAGCCTAGACTGTGGAGAATGACAATGATAAGGACACAAATGCAGAAGTTGCAGTCTGAAGAATGCTCGTTCAGCAGCCATCTCACCCTGGGTGTGCCTGAGATACCACGGCCTCAACTTTCCTGATAGAGGAATGCTTCCCTGCTCACAAATGTTCATCAGCTGGTCAGCTGAACATCAAGTCAACCCTAAGATTTCCTTGGGTCTGCCTGCAAATCCTCACGTATTGAGAAAAAGAACAGCAAAACCTGACTGCAATCCTTCTGCAGAATTAGAAGCTGATGCTAAAGGCAGTGTCAGCCTTTGCTATAACAAGAAATATCGTTAATTACTTTCCCTCAGATAGAGTGACTTCACAAATGTCAACACGCATAAAAAAAACATTATTAGAAGTGAAGGGACTTTCTGATCTATTCAAATTTGGAATACATAATAACAGCAGATTTATTTTTCCCCGGGTATCCATGGCATTCCTTCTCAGAAGTCACTTTAATTAACAATAATACAGAAATTGGATTTTAGTTTTTGTATGTGGTATGCATAATAATAAAAAAAAAAAACACCTTTATTGAGGACAGCAGTGTCTTCTTGTTGCTGCAATAGCATATTATCATTCTTCAAAAGCCACGTGGGATAAGATACGTATTTATAATGGGGCTGTGCTCAAAACCTTTTTCAGAATCATGTGCTATTGTTTAGACTCTAACCACAGTTATTTACCAGTGATACTACTTGAGATTTAAACATAGCTTCATGCATTGAAGTTGCATGTGTGTGACATTTCATAAGCACTTCTTCCAGCTCAGAGCTGGTAGAAGGTGAAGCCCAGGCTAGTCATTTTCTGGATTGCAAAATGCTAACTTGAATATTTCCTCACATGTTTTGCTTGAAAGAATCATTTAGATGACACAATGACTCTATCCTTTGGGCAGAATTAATTTCACAAAAATAGTACCTCACATTTGTAGCCGTTAGGAAGGTGGCAGTAAACATCTTCTAGTGCGGACAAAATCAAGTAATACCAAGCAGACCTTAACATAGGATGCTGTTAGGGAGTATACCAGCTCCAGATAACATTTATGGGAGATTGAGGTAATCATCACATAAGTGTTTTTGTGTTGGTTGAACAAGGATAATCTTCACCCTTAGATCTAGGTCAGCAACAGTCTTACCTGTAAGGATAAAACAATAATCCTTGAGATACAATAAAAGTAAGACATATCTGAAACCTGAAGCGACACATCAAATTTTTTTGTGCGATACAGCAGCTGATTTTTTAGTATGAAGTATGCTTTTTGTGACTGTTTTAATCCCCAAGAAGGAATAATACACATCCATCAATTAGATATCCGTAACTGGAAAGATTGTTTTCTATAGCCTTCTTAAATATGTATTTGTATAAATTAAAGTAGCAAAGCAATCCTGTGTAAGTTTAAGTGCTTGACATAAGTAACCAATATACGTCTTAGCAATTTAGACATATGTTATTAAATTTTATTTATGTGAATAATGACAAAATATAAAATCAAAATGGGGAATTAGTTTTTGAACAACTGAGTCCCTACATTTGTCCATCACACATCTACATGGATGCCAACCAGAGCAAAAAAAAAAAAAAAAAGCTTCCCTTCTCTCCCTTCCTTCCAGGATCAGCTCCACATTATGCCTCATTGAATTGATGTTGGAAATAAGATTTCTGCAGGAAAAGATTATCCAGATATCCAAAACTTCTTCAGTCGCTGCCTTTCTGCAAGAAAGAGCCACAAACCCTCAGAAAAGATGAAATCATTCAGAAATACATGTTGATATAACAAGCAAGGAAGAAAGCAAGATCTTACAGTTCTGTATGGTACGCCCTTCCATACCTGAACAACTTTTAATGTTTGAGGTATTCTGCTTGCATGTGCCAGTACAAGACTGGGAAAAGCTGTTGAGATCATTCTAAAGTCTTAACTATCATACAGACTTCAGCTAGTGTACTGATGGAAGAGCCAAAGGAAATGGTCAGTGTCAGCTTTAGTTCAACTGCCTTAAATTACTTGCAAAAGTGTACTGAGGAGTTTTTAAGACCGGGAAATTTTGCTGAGCTTTCCCAAATTCTCATCTTACATATCAATGCGTGCTTTGTTTTTTCCTTTCCAGGACTATATATCCTCTAAATATGTACCTTAAAATCCATATTTTCAGTCTTCAAATACACAGAAATGAGCAGAGAGTCTTTGTGACCTATCAGAAGTAAGACCTGAATCATCTATTTAGAGTAGATCTTCCTTGACAGGACAAGCATAAAGCAAGCAGCAGAGGGCAAGGCAACACATGCACCCATTGGGACTGAAATGTTCTGATGTATAAATTGGCTCATAACTCTTGGTCTGAGTGAGTGGATGGGGAGGTCTGCCTCTATAAGGTATTATAGTTTTCTTCAACTACAAATTCCTGCTTTTTTCACATCCTTGGGGATGTCACATATCACAGCAGACCGAAAGTGACTTTACAGCAAAACACAAGCTTAACTCTGGGTAGCCAAGACAGAATGTAGAAAACACAAATACATTTTAAATTATTTCCTAAATGTCTTTACATTTGCATTACTTGTACTATTCTATTTTACTTGTACTGTTTTATTTTCCACTTCTTCACTCAAGTGTTCATTGGACTCTGAAGGTGTCTTTCATGTAAAATAAAGCAAATTCATGATGTTTCACATTCCTCATGTCCATCTTGGGGAATTAAACTTGTTTATTAATGACACAAATATTCCATGTTTTTAAAAACCAGCATGACAATACAGGACTACTTAGCACTTCATCTTTCTTAAAAATATTTTGAAGTTCAGTGGCAAATACTCTTCTGTTGCTATAATTAGATTGATCTACAGAGAAATTTACAGACACAGGAACAGCAGTGATTGACATTTTTTCCAGACATAGAAAGAAAGGGGAGACAAGATCTCTACCACATTTTGTTGCCCACAGGATCTCCATGTGGTGACTTTTCAGTCTGGAAATATCAGGAATCATTCTTCAATGGCTGTTTGTGTTTTGCAAAGGTATCATCATAACCCCTCCTCACTGACTAAAACTGAGCATCCTAAATGCTGCTCAATACATACGAGCATGAGTTTATCAGTGACCAATGGATTTGACTAAATCTCAAGTTCTCTGACAAACTCTAAGAGGATGTGCATCTGCATGACTTTCTCCCCCCACCACAGTACAAGATCTTGAGCAGGAAAAGTGAAAGCAATAAATAAACAAAACCCCACTCATATTCTTCTTGTAACTACTAAGATAGAATTGAAGTTTTCAATGAGAAAAAAGATGCTTTTTTGGAATCCCAATAAAGAATACAGCCCTTGCCCTAATTTCTCTGGCATGTAAAAGAATGGCCAAAATTCATTTAGCAGCCCAATAATTGGTCCTATTTTCATTTGTCACTGATCCGAGGTTATCTTGATTTGGGTGGTTAAAAAAAAAAAATAAATTGTATTTTAAAAATGATTCTGCCTCCAAGAACTTCAAAGAATTTCCTCCTGTCTGTGACTAACGTTAGCTAAAACACTGATGAAGGTATTTTTCTATCACTAACAACAAATAATTCAAAGACAACTCTAACATGAAGTGTATTGTCCAGATTCAACAATAGAAAATATTGCTCCATACTACACAAAAGTTGTTTCTCAGTCTATGGAGTTTAGATGGTAAGATTTAGGTAGGATTCAGGAAGAAGAAAGAATGCTGTGCCCCATGTTTAAGGAAAAAAAGCTATAAACCACAATTTCTTATGGATGTAGCTCTAGCTTGTGACAGCTTGCTCAAAATCTGCAAAAACACTGAGCTATTTATAAACATATCTGGGTTAACTAATTGCCATTATAGTATTTTTATGCATATAAAATTAAAATCTAGCTTTTCTGTATGCTGCAGATAATGATACTTAGGATGAAAATTAAATGTTAGTAAAGGCAGCTGCATAAACAAACTGCTTGATTTCAATACCTGTTCATGTACTGTAGTTTCCTAGAGTGCCACTCACTGCACCAACAGATGAAGAGATGAGGAAGCTCCCTAGGTGACTGAGACTCACCCCAACATTTGAGGGTGTGATTGGTTGGGTTCTCAGTCATCCCTGTGAGAGGAGGTGCAAATACCCAATGATGCACAAATCCAAAGTGCTCTTAGCATGCACCCAAGCCAACAGAATAGATTCCCCCTCCCCCCCCTTCTATACTTCAGTGGAAGAGAGCTTTGTGTGAATAAGAGTTCTCCATTTCATCTCAGTTCCATACTGCACAGGTACAACTCCAGAAAAAAACAGCTTTAGCATCCCTCAGCCCAGCCACATTCCTGCAGCTGCATGCTTTGAAATTGCCCTGGGCTAAAATAAACAAACAGAAAGATAAATGGATGGCACTTGGTGTCAGCAGGCCAAATTTTTGTTCCTCTCTTTTCAAGAAATGAATCACCAGTGAAATAGAGATGACTCACTAAGGGAATCCAAAGCATGCTTTCTTTAATACATGCAAGTCCATGCCCTAAATGGAGAGAAACAGGGGCTACATTTTAATATTAATTTCCTCAACATTGAGTCAAAAATGCCAGTAAGTGCAAAGGGAAGCTGCCCTCAAATCTTTCTAACACAGCAAGAATGTATAAATAGTTGCACATGGCAGATAATTAGGTTGTGTTAACACAGCATTGTACTTGTGAGCATCTGGGTAGCAGATAGGAGAGAACAGCTGAGCAGCTGCTAGCAAGTCCTGGGCTGCTCCTACAGAGCAAGTGCTGTTACCCAAAAGCTCTGGGCACAGTTATTCAAACCCACCATGTAAAATGTGTGACATGGCCAAGATCGTATGAAATATCAAGATTATTTGAAAAGAGGGAGCTTATGTTCTTCTTAGTTGAGATTGAGCTTGGGTGCTCTGCAGTCACAGCTAGTGGATCTTGCTGCTGAAGACCTTGCCTCAGTTTACCCCCTAGTGTCAGGAGGACAGAGGTAATAGGTTTCTGAGGTAATAGGTTTTTGGTGTTGTCTTTTTTTAATTTAAGTCACATAGCTCTAATTTGTAACTCACTACAGAATTCCCCTCCTTTCTTTCATTTGCTTCCCCATTTCTCACAACGAGTGGCTTAACAGGAAATCCTTGACTATTTGTTTGTTGTTGTTTTTTTTAAATGAGGTATTTGTCCATCAGAAATTCTTCTGATGTGAGGAAGGATGGTATGATTCTCAATCACAATTTACCTTCAAGAAAAAAAAAAATAGAGCTCACTGAAGTTTTATTTAATTTTTGAAATTTTAAAGGACTAGCAAGGGGTTCTGTTTGTACCAAGACTAAAGATGGCATTATAATAAGTATTGGACCAAAAGTTCCAACTGCTAGAAATACTAACAAATATAAGCAAAAACAACAAAAAAAACAACAAAAAACAAAGAATATAAATAGTACTCCTTATGCACTGTTTGCACAACTCCGTTAGAGGCTTACATGCAGCCCAGTTTGTCACACCTGTAGCACTGTCACCCCTTCACTGGAATAGTTTCCATTGCAGAGAACAGCTTGTCCTCCTGGGTTTGTGTTGCTTAATACAGGTTCACATCATCACATTCAGGAAATACAGGATATTAATTATTTTATTTTGCCTTGCTGCAGGTCTGCCCTTAATTCAGGTGAAAACAAAGGGTTTCCTCAAATCCTCTCTTAACAAAAATAAAAATCAAATTGGATAAGTTGCACAAAGGGACCATAAAGAATTATTTCTTTAAATATTTTACACAATTGCCTTCATTCTTCAAACCAATTTTATTCTCAGCTTCCTGATCTTTCTATCAGTCTGTTTCATCTTAAGAAAAAAATAATGGCATGGGTCTCAAGATGCTTCTCCATTACATCAGAAATACTACAGAAAAATGAATATTTTAAAATTAAATGTTACTCTATGCTTTTCATGACATCCTGTGTACATTATTTTAAATGGAAAATGAATCTCAGTGTTCTATCACTGAAAAGAAACTGAAAAAATATTCTTGCAGGGAAGAATTTTGCACTTCACTAATACATCAACAGTGTCGAAAACATACATCTCAAAAGAAGTGAGTGATGTGTGCAAAGTTGTTTAACTCTCCTCAAATGATACATCATTTTATTTTGCTGAAGAAGAATAG